GGGTGGGCTCAGTTCAGCGCAAGCTGTGTCTCACCTAAAAAATCCACTGCGCAGGCTCGAAGGGTTGATGACCTTTCCCAAATCTTCGCTCGCGAAGACTGGCCATTATTATATTATATTTATTATCTCACCAGTCTCACTGCTCACTGTCATGAGCCACCTTGGTGCCTTACCAACTCAGCTGATAAGTTAACAACTGCAACACTAGATTCATAAGATGTTTCTGTTTGAAACACTATGGCTTCATTTGTCACCAGGTTCATAAAATGTACACTGGACACAGATCTAAAACATATTACTACTATAGTGTTCAAAAGCAATCTATCATTTACTGGAGTGGTGACGCTCTGAAGGGTTGTGCTGCTGTTCAGAGGGACCTTGACAGGTTGGAGGAATGGGTCTACAGACACCACACGGGAAGAAAAAAAAAAAAACAACAAAAAAAAGACAAGTGAAATCCTGCCCCTGCAGAGGAACAACCAGGCACCAGTACAGGCTGCAGCCAAACAGCTGGAAAGCAGCTTCAAAGAAAATGCCCTGGGGTCCTGGAAGACAAACTGAACAGGAAAGGCCAGCAGCACCCTGGGCCATGTCAGGTAGAGCATTACCTGTAGGTTAAGGGGGGGAGATCCTTCTCTGCTGCCCAGTACTGGTGAGACAGACCTGGAGTGCTGTGTCCTGTGCTGGATTCCCCAGGACTAGGGAAACATGGGAGCACAGGAGCGAGTTCAGCAAATGGTCACTGAGATGATTATAGGATTGGAGTTCTGTCACACAAGGAGAGGCTGAGAGAGCTGGGGACATTTAGCCTCGAGCAGAGAAGAGTCAGGGGGGAATCCTATCAAAATGTGTAAGTACCTGATGGGAGGGAAAAAAGAAAACAGAGTTAAACTCTTCTTAGTGGTGCCCAGTGAAAGGGCAGGAAACAACAGGCACAATCTAAAACATAAGGAATTACAGTTTAAAAAAAAAAAAAAAGAGGGAGGGTGTTGTTGCTGTTGGGGTTTTTTGTTTGAGTTTTTCTGTTGTTTACTGTGAAGATGTTTGGCTAGAGAGACTGTGAAGTGCCCATTCTTGGAGATATAAAAACCTGTTTGGATGCAGCCCTGAACAACCTGCTCTACTTGACCCTGCTCTGAGCAGGAAAGATGGTCCAAATAAATGATCTCCAAAGCAGAGCGTGCACAAGGCAATCCTGTCAATGTGGTAAGAAAATATTTTCTGTACAATTAACAAATATTTAAAAAAAGAATTTAGATAGTCTTTATTTCATTTTTATCTCATCTTTTGCTTTTGAATTTCTCTTCTTGAGTGTGTTTCATAATGCACATAAAATATTAGTACAGTGGTACATGTACAACATACACATATTGGGGATGTATGCTCAAAAATATTTTGCTGCTACACAATCAAAAAAATGTGGAGACCACTGGTCTAGATCAACTCCAACAGTCCCTTCCCAATTTCATCAAGTCTGATTCTTTCTCTTGCTAACAACAATGGATGCCTGTACACAGAGTAAAGAGATTCAGTAGAAAATAAAAATTCCTGCCTGTCTGTTGCTTTCTAAAATTTTTCCTTCACCTTTTTCAACTCATTAACTTGTTAAACCTTACCTTCATCTAATTTGATATTAACAACTGGGTTTGGATTTCTGCCACACTTCTACTAGAAGTTACTTTATAATATGGGGTGTGGTGGTAATTTTTTTTTTTGTTGTTTCTTTGATTTTAAGGCTCCTCGAGGCTACTTTACCCTGCTTATCCAGAGGAATAGTTACTGCAGCAGTCCATGTTCTGGTTTTGCCACCTATGAAAAGACTACCAGTGTCAACATACAGTTAGCTACACCACTTCCTCCTCCTCAAACACTTATCTCCTCATAGCAGACAAACCAGTCTAAAAGCTCTTTTAAATTTCTAGATGAAGCTTTACTGAGGATTGGGATCCAGATTTTTCACAGTGATTATATATTAAAAACAAATTGAGCCTTGTTTAACAACAGCTCAATGCTCTTACTTACGCAACTTAACACTATAGGTATATTGCTATGCTATTTTTCTGCCAAGTTACTAGAAAAAATACCCAAATAATTTATCATATACACATTCAAGGTATGTAAAGCAATAGTCTGTCCATTTATAAACCCCAATTCAAAAAATCAATGTATCTTACTGTTTACTTCAGCTTTGCAGTTACATTAAAATATAGTAATAAATAAAACATTTAGAGTACATTAACAAAATAAGCAAAACATGAACTGAATTGAATGCATTTATGATTTTATGTGCAATCACAAATAAATCAAATTCTTACAATATCACTCTATAAATTGAATAATGGCAAACTACTATCAGTTCATTACCTCATTCAATATCTAAAATAACATGTAAAGTAGAACTAGAGAAAGTTCATAGGCTTTATATGATCATTTGAAAACCCTTTAGAAAGTTTATTTTGCATACATCTATATACATAAACAAGAAAGATAATTTTCATGTAATCCTTAATTCGAATACTGAAGAGCTGGAAAGAGAACAAGACCTTTCTTGGATATTAGTATTTGTTTATGCTGAGCACAGTGATACTCTTAGCCTAGAAGTGTACTGAAATCCATATTAAATTGACCATTTTTCTCAAAGATGAAGTTAAAATGGAAGGTCTCGTTCCAAACAGGAGCACTGGGGAAAAATGTTCATTGTATTTCTCATCTGGCAGACCAGTAGTACCACTCTGGGAAATCAGAGAGAATTTGGGCAGACTGCCCACTGAACTTAAGGCTCATCTGAGATCCACATATATCCACTTAGCTATCCAACCAGGATTTTTCGTTGTGGTTGTTTTCATGCCCACATGATTTTAGTGTTTTTGTGCAACGTACAACCCTCTCCACGTGTCCCTTACCAAAAGGAGGCAGGTACCTCATAGTGAGGTCAGCAGATCTATGTCCTCCCACGCCTGGGCCAATGTCCGCTGTCATTATGGGAAAGCAAAGTGAACTTTAATCTATAAAAATGTACCATTTGAACAACATATGCTACAGATAATCTTGGGATCCAAGCAGAAAAATGCAGCTACACAGTAAATGTAGCAGTTGAAAGAACTGTACAGCCTGAAGCAAAAATTGTCTTTTACACACATTTAGAAAAATATGCACACCTACATGCATAGAACTCTCTAAATTAACCTTTTTACCACCTTTCATGTGGTGCTATAACACATTATAAAGCCATACTTTATAACAGTATTAATTTAGTAAGTCAGGTATTTTCTCTATCAAAAAAAAAAAAAAACTAAGAAAACAACCAATCATATAATATTGACTGCAATTAAGAGAATTCCAGCACTGCACAGTATCTCTCACACTTCACAATCAATAACTGTTTCTCTGAATGGCTTGCACACCACCAGAAATAGCCAGGATACAAATTTATTAGACAGTAAAGTGCTTTTTATTGTATGAGCAGCAAAGAATCACAGGAATTTTCTACACAGTCTTTGTAACAGAAACATGACCTTTGAAATACCAAAGCTTCCTCTGCTATTCAGTGTTGATCACCAAAGAGTTGTCAGTTCCTAAGTTTTTAAAATATTATCTCTGCTGCGTCATGTATTGCAAAACGCCACAAACCTGAATGCTGTTCCACGACAGTAGCAACCTTTGCTGGAATCTGATTTGTTGGAAATACTAAAAGTAGCTTCACATGCCAAAAGTTCCGCAAATCTTTATTTTAAATCACTTTCCATTTACTGACACTACACAAAAGATTTATATACACAGGTGACTGACCACAAAGGGAGAAAACTCTAAACATATGAAACAAAGCAAGCATAAAGCAAAAATCACAATTAGAAAGGTGAATACCACTAGTGAATATCACTATTTTTACAGTTATTTGCAACACTGGTAGTTGAAATGTTCATTTGTAAGTAATGAGAGCAGCTTCAAAAGAGGTAGGTTGCATTTCAAGTCAGAATACCTTCACAAACCACTCAAGTACGAGACAAGAGCCTCATGAACATAAATCAGTCATGAAAATCACATCATTCACACATGTCTATAAATTTAAAGGGATTATGAAACACAGTCAAAGCATATAGGTGTATTTAGTTTTCCAAGAAGATTCTCACGGGGTTTTGCTGTTGTTTTTACTTTTTACTGCACTAGTGCAAGTGTAAGAATTTACTCTGATATCAGGCAAGTGAAATGAAGCACTATGTTTGCATCATTACATTTTATTATCCAATTTCAAAACCTTTAAAAGTACAGGTTACTATAATTTTCTAATTCACAGATAATACTATAAATAACATCTTCCTGATTATTCAGTGAGGTACTTTAGAAAATCTGTATTCAACTCCACCACCTTTCTAGACACTATAGCTGGCAAGTTTCTTTGGAGTCCTGTACCCAGATATTCCACAGTGCAGGTAAGGATGGCAGAAGATTCATGTACTAACTAATTTTAACCTCCTCTAATAAGTATTAAGTGTAACTATATGAGGATATTAAGAAAAAAATACATCTCTACAATATATAAAGGACTAGACAGATTTTACCATTCTATTATCAAAACAAAAATCATGTAAATCTGATGATAAAATCAGAGTACACAGGAACTACATACATAAAAATCAAATCCAATTTAAAGCAAACACAGGTTTGTTCAAACACCATTGTACAACTGCTTTAGCACTTACAGAATTTAGATGAACAATATTTTCATTCACTCACAATTTAGTATAAATATAAAGCAAGGCACCCCTTAAGCATTTTAAATAACAAATTAAACATTTACATTTTTTACTGTGCAGTCAGGCTTAACATTTATGCAGCTTCAAAACCAAAGTACAGCCTCAAGGGAAGCCTCTCCACTGACAAATTAATACCTTAGAGAATAGAGCTGAATGGTGGCAATGAACTCATTTGTTCCCCCAATAATGAAGAATGACTCTTTCTTTACCACATCTGTGACTGTTGCTATGGTGACCCAGACTTACCTCATTGCTTCTCGAAGTGCTCCTCGCTCACTAAGAGTCGTGTGCTTGATGTCATCAAAATTATTTTCCAGTTTCTCACAGTTCTGCAACAAATGGACATATCCATGTAAGGCTCTTAAACAGTTCATTGTACATTTATTAACAGTATTCAACATCACGCAAACAAAACTGATTTATATTATGTTATGTCAAATTATGCATTCTGTTTTAATTACATGGGAGTCATTAAGAAGACATTGAGAACTCAGAAATAAACTAAACATGAATATTATATATGGTTGTCATGGAAATCATCTTATAAATGTTCTATAATAAAATTTACAGAATTTTTACTTTTTTCTTCTCTGAAAAAAAAATTTTTCCTTTATCTGTGTGCAAGGCTACAACAATACTGTACACATAGAGATGAGAACAGAAACCTAAACGAGCATTTTAGAATTATAATGGAAGTTATAAACGTTGTCCCAATAAAACAGGCAATGTTGTTGGAACAAACCAGTCATATTTAATTCCTATTTAATTAAATTTTTAAAACATAATAGAAACTGAAAAGATTGATGGTTTATAGACAACTCAACCTTTATGTTTTTCCATATTAGAGCTCTCTATTTCTAAAAATAATACGAAGCCAACAACTTTGTGACAATAAATGAAGCAAAACTTTCCTATATTCTGTAAATTACTACTAAATGTGTGACTGGTTCCATTACTGCATAGCCCTGATCCTTTTCTTCTGCTGTCAGAAAGATAGTAAAATTGATTAACAAGATGCCGGGGAGTACAGAAATTTTTATCTGTGCAAAGCGAGTGTGAAATACCAGCAAACAAGAATTCTCTGATTATCTGCATCTTCCGTAAGATTTTTATTTTCTCTTGAGGATCCATCAATACAGGAGGCTTTTAGATTACCCCGTTCTCCACAGCAACTTTCTCCAATACCAAAAGTTACCTCTGGGAGGCATAATTTTGCCATATGGGTGTAATAGACACACAAGTTGCAAGCAGAACAGTTACTATTGCTAACAATCTTGAAGACAGTATTGTCATGTTATATATGCAGCAGCTTTAAAGAAATTATGTGCACTATTATTTGGTCATATTGCTTTCACTATTTTTAATATCTGAATTAATTTTGAAGACCACATCTTAAAAATAGTTATAGTAAATACAATAAAAGTTACCTATTGTTATTTCTTTTGTGTATTGATTCTTCATTTTTATAATTACATTCAATTTGAGGCTACAAAAGCGTTACTGAGAAAGAAATTATTAGATACTTGCAATTGACCTAGCAAGATATTTTAGCTTGTCCAATTAACATTTAAATCATCATTATTTTTAAATAAGATTACAGACTTTTTAATACAAAGTTTTAATACTTTAAAAATACATTTCTGAGCAGAAAAAAATCAACAAAGCTACACATATTTTCATCTTTTGACATCTTTTTCTTTTTTCTCCTTTTTAAAAGCTATGCATGTAGCAGTAAATCTTATCCCACAGTTAATGTGATATTTTTTTTGTTTATATTACAAACAGTTGTCCTTTGTATTGTAAAATCCTACTCCAAAACTCAAAGGGATTGCACAAGAAAGACAGGGAAGCTCTACAATGAAGTATTCCATTATTTAGATCAGCATATATTGACCTTCAGCTCCAAGCACATATAGGCAGGTCAGTCATTTAAAATACATAAAAGAAATCCAAATCAACAATACTAATTAATGAAAAATTCTTGATTCACCAGTACTAAGCTGAAAATATCTGTGTAAGCAAAATTAGATCTCCCATCCTCCAGGAAAACAGGCCAGAGGAAACATAATATTGTTGGAAACTTGGAATATTGCTCCAAGTGCCAAAAGAGAAAAGCCCATGTTTTAACAATCCTGTGTCACCAGCACCTCAGGACAGGTTCAGAAAATCTGAGAATCACACAATTCCTTTCTCTTGACCTTGTGATATAAGGCATGTAGAAATGACAGATGACCCCAGATCACAAAGCACACGGATTTTTATCAAACACCACTAAATCTTCTCTATATTGTACAAGCTAAAATAAGTGATCCTGTACATGTGGAAAATGCTGAAATGAGTAAGTTCAGTTTGTATTTCTTCTATGTCTGTACAGATCATACTGTGTTAATCAGCTGAAGAGCAACAAAAGCATATCTAAAGAAAATGCTGTGATCATGTAGCCTTACACACACAAATACTCCACCTCAACTATACACCCAATGCAAAACTGGATAGCCCAGAACAAAACAAAACAAAAAAAACCAAAACAAAACAAAAAACCCAAACAAACAAACAAAAAACCAAAACAAAAAACACAAACAACAACAACAAAAAAAAAAGACTTGCATAATAGATGTTGTACCAATTCATTTGCCAAGATGACTTCTACCATTTCTGAGAACTGTTTCTGGACATTATCTTTCTCAGATACTTTCAGCCTAATAACTCTCATGCAAGGTACAACAGCTGGACAGCAAATCATAGAATTATTAAGAAAAACTGAACTAAAAACTGACCCAGAAACAAACTCACGAAGGAAGACGACCTCATAGGGCTATGTCATCAGTTAGTGCATACACACTGAACAGGCAAGTAAGCAAGTGTTGATCATACCCACTGCTTTTCCAGTCATCCAAGTATGCTTGATCCTCTCAGAGGAAAGAGAAAAGGGTGTCTGAAATACCAAATATAAGCATAGCTACAGGTGTATAGATGGCACTTCATGTGTCTGAGTACCAGCTCGCATGCTTTGCTTGCAGATCATCTGAAAGCATCTCATTTTATAAGAACATGAATGAACTTGTAAGCATGAGAATACTCCAAAGAATGTCTGGGAAATGATGAAACTTTGGTTGACCATGACCAAGGTGAGCTTTACATTCTTAAGTACTAAATCAGTAGCAAAAATGGAGATCATTCTATTATCCGTGCTACCAAATAATTCATATTTATAAACATCTTGCACAGAGCAGTATGATTTGGTCCATAGTACTTCACACATTTAAGTATAATGAACAATTAAACTCCAAGCTGTTTCATTTTGGGCAGCAGCTAAAGCAAAAAAGTCAAAACACAAGCAATGAAAAAATTACTTTCGGTGGCTCACTGCCAAGTGATTTTTTGTGGGTATAAAGTCTATAAGTTTTAACTCCATGATTCAATAATTACATAGCACTCTACATGTTATCACTATTGGCAGATCTATAGTACTTATGATATTACACTAAATATCACCTTTGAGAAGTCCAGGAGGAAAAATCAGCATAGAGTTACAATCAGGGACATCGTCATCATAAGTCAAACTACCATTACATTTAAAAAAGTCACAAAAGTCTAAATACTGCTTCTTAAAGGAATATACCATAAAGACTTTGACTTTTTTAAATGTAACAAAAAGCAAGAGCGGGGGAGATATTTTATATATAAATAAATAAATATAATAAATGGCTTATTTATAATGTGAGATTTTGTATGACAAGTAGTTAAAACTGGAGATGTAGACTGGGTATTCACAACTATCTGTGAAGAAATGAGACAAAGATAATGAGTGTATGAAGATGAGGAAGAAGGAAGATTAATGAACAAACTGAAAAGCTTTTCCTCCCATGTCCACAAAAATATGACTTTTTTTCCTGCTACAATTTATTCTTGTTAATAAAATAAACTACAAGCTTTGGGAGCAAAAACTGTGCTCACAAATCTGTATTTTCAGTTATTGTAAGTAATAATATTATTAACATTATGACAAACTTTATAGTAATATTTTAACAGTCTACGCAAAGTTAACTACCAAGTCCAAGTACTCTGACATTGGCTGAAGTAACAATCTAGCTCATGTAACTGGAAAATATAAATAAAGAATCCCTCTCGTTTTAAATAAAAACCTAGGATTCTGGCAAAAGTAAAGTTGTATTTTTAAAACCTCTCTCTACACATTCATCAGCTTAGCTTTCTTGTATATTATTTAGTCTTTGCTGGAAAAGCCCTCTTTGTTGACTCAGTTATTTGAAAAGCAGTTCTTTATTTGGCCTCTCAGATCAAACGTAGAACTTTGCAGAAACAGCTCAGAAACCAACGACATTCTATTGCCTGGTGTGACCACCGAGGATCTCCCTAAATCACAAAAGCATTGCTGCCTCTGCTCTGCCATGACAGGCATAAGAGTCAGAGTTCTGAGAAGACCATAACTCAAACTTGCCAATTCTGTGATACAGTAGGGCTAAATATGACCCCACTTCCATTGAAATCAACCTTAAATCTTCCATCCACCCAAACAAGAGTGGGATCACACTAAGCTATATGCTGCTACTTTAACTCTATCCTGAAATACTTCACATAAGACTTTCAAACTTATTATATTATCGATAATGTCTCTGCACACATTTTGAGATAGTTGAGAAATAAAATCTTTAGCACTGACAACAGTGTAAGACCTGTCCTAAGGCAGCCTGCATCACTGAAGTTGAGGAGATAGATCTCTTATCCTAGTTGATACATTGCCAAATTAAAAGCCTTACTTAAAATACCATCTCTCTACTGTGAAAGAGGTTTTTAAGGTAAGTAGGATTGCCGAATTCTTGGAATTCATCACTTCCACATGGGTTTAGGAAATTTTCTTAGAAAGCTTGAGTAAATCTCACATTTCTAGTGTCAGAACAGCAGAACAGCTCTCACCTAATCAGTTCGTATTTACTATTACTGTTAATGCCAAAAAAATTAATTTTTCTTTGGTTTTCTCCTTTATAATTCATTAAAATGTTCCTACAGAGTACGCTGTGTCCTTATTTTCTACAGTTTATGCAGCTAAATTTAATTTATTAAATCTATTTGTACCTAGATTTCTGAGTCCTAAAAATGAGGCAATCTGGTCCAAATTCTGAAGTATTTACTAGCTTACTGTAATATTTCAATTAGTTATGTTTAAGGAGGAAGGTTCCAACAACAGATTACCAAAACTGTTGAGGACCTACAGAATCTACTGTAAATACCTACATCCTGTACAGATTCAATAAGAAGATTCTCAAATTTTGGTCCAAAAATGCCTTAAAACTTCAAGTGCCACACGTGC